ATATTTTCAAAATAAGTCCTGCCAATTCCTAACATATTGAGATAAGTTTCTTGACAAAGAAGTGTATTGTGATCCCAATGGTAGTAAGTTTTTTTATTGGATCTAATTTTCTTTTTAAGGCGTATACTAGTGCTTATTGATCCCCCATCCATTGCTTTAATTTGTGACATTAGAAATATGTCTTGTTCTGGCTTAGAAAGAGCTTGAAAGTGTCACCAATTAAATTTGGGAGAGCATGTTTTAATTGATGATAACAATATTTAATAGTTTATGTGGATCAGAATGAATAGGTTACTAACGAATTAGTTTTATTATTAACAGATAATTTTGTTTAAAGAAGATAAAAAAAACGATTTATTTAATTTTGTATCTTAGTCGAAACTAATTATTAACTTATTATTAAGTTAATTTATTACAAAGTTAAAAAGTAAAGAAGTTAAAAAGTTATTTTACAAGTACATCGAATTCAAGTTTCTTATATACAGTTCAATTAACTAGTTTTACTAATATTGATATTAAGAACGAATCCAACTTTTGGTGATGAATATTACTCTCAGTAAGATTAATTCTTCCTTAACAAAACACATTACGAAATTTAGATGTAAAAATAAAAATAATACTAAATTAAAAAATAAAAATAATACTAAATTAAGAAATAAAAATAATACTAAATTAAGAAATAAAAGTAATACTAAACAAAGAAATAAAATTAATTAAAATAGAAATAAAATTAATTGACGTGGAATTAGGGTATTTCGGCTAATAGATCAGCATCAATCCTAATTCCGGTAACAAAAGGATTCCCTTAATTCTGCAAATTCTTTGGGAATTCTTGAAGAACAACCACATTTACAACCTTTTTCTAAAAAATCAATCACTTTTTGATATTCAGCAGAACCATTGTACTTGTTATTAATTTTCATATACACTTATCCCTATATAATATAATTTTATGTTCACTTTGTAGGTTAACTTATAAATTTTACCAGACCAGACAGAAGCTATTCTTTTATTTTTATTTTTTGATCTATTAAAAAAATTCAAACAGAAAATTGCCAATGTTACATTATCTATAAAATGCCTAATTTATGAAATAATTAAAATAGTTTTTTATTATCCTTTCTAACTAAAATATAAAAATTTTTCATGTTTGCAATTTATTGTAAATGATAAATTTATATTAAAAAAATTCATCTAAGAAAGAATCCAATTTTTCTTTCTCAGGACTATCCTCACTACGAAATGGCTGACCAATATAATGCACCAACATATGTACATGTGAATGATAATAGCCTTCAAAGTTTGGTGCTTTTTTAGTAGCATTGTATGGAATAGTACCCAAATCCTTATTAAATTCTATCAAAAATTCTTTAAATTTATCTTGCTTAAGAAGATCTCATCAGGAAATTTTTTCTGACGTAAATTTACATAATATTATGGGGCCCGCCATAAACTTTTGTAAATAGTGTAATATTATGCAAAAATTGCACAAAATTACACAATTATTACATTCAGTGTAAATATTACATCCTTTTTATGTGAAATATTACAACATTTCATATTAAAACTTATGGATGTAATATTATGGCGGGAAAAGTTTCCTGATGGCCTGTCAGTATTTTAATTTGATTAAAAGTATCTTCTAATGAAGTATTACAAGAACTAGCCCAAAGTTCACCCATCAAAGATTCACGTACTTCTGTGTTTGGAATATCAAGAACCAAATTTGCTCCTTCTTGTTGTTTGATAGTCAAATAACCAGTTTGAAAAAATAATGACACAGGGAATTTAGATGATTTTTGTATATCTGCAATATCAACAGGTACAATTGAATCTTGACTGATTTTAATTTCATCTGCAATATCTTTGACATGCTCCATACTGATCAACTTGGCTAAAAGGCTGGTTTTTCCCTTTTGGATCCAATAGTTCAAAAATTTTGAATTCTTAAAAAACATACATATACTGTATGGATTATACACCTTGATCTTGGCATCCCAAGAATAACCATTGTATTTTTGCTGAAGGTTAGTCAACATTTCTTGTGGATTATCAAATTTATTTAATAAGGTTTTAAATTTTTGATTTATCTCATCACTTGTAAAACCATATGCTCCAGATAACATAGGAGACATTGTCAAATCTTCAAGGATATTTGCTCCTGAAAATAAACTGACATGTGAAAACATTGTGACACCAGTGGTAAATGAAAATTTAATGTATGCTTGTGATGCTTTTATGACTTCAAAGAAACCCTTCAATATATCACGATTTTTGTCTGCAATTTCCAAGCTTTCTTTTGTGACATCAAGAACACTTAACAATGGTGAATCATATTCATCAATTAGGATTACCACTTTTTTCCATTCATTACCTTTGTGACCAGCTAGGATTGTGATTAATTGATTAATAGCAGCTTTGACACTAGTATCATTTGTGATGCAGACATTATAGAAGCTTCCAATTGATTTAATCATGTTAATCAATTCCTTTTTTAACATGTCTGGTCCTTCATTTGATGTCAGTTTAGAAAAATCAAGCCTGATGACTGGAACTGGAGGTAAGTCTTTATTCCACAGTTGTACTTTATTCCCAAAAATCATTTGTGGTGGATTCTTGTGTATGTATAAACCCTCAAAGAGATGATGTTGGTTCAAGAAAAAAGATTCAATCATGGAGAGGAACATAGACTTTCCAAATTTTTGAGGTCGTGATACAAAGTATACACCGCCATCCAGTTGCAATTTGGTCAACCAAATTGTTTTGTCCACATATAATAACTGCATTTTACGTATTTCCATGAATTCAGAATCTGATGCTGGAATACTACTAGAATCTGTAATGAAAAAAAAAATTGAAAAATAAAAAATTATTATTACTATCCAAAAAAAAAAAAGGACACATTACAAACAATTAAAAAAAAATAGTTACATGGTGAATTTTGAATAATGGAAATTCTTCTAGGATCATTTTCCCAAAGGCAAATTTTCTTCTGCTGGTGTTCTTCATGAGAGAACAAGTGAAAATGGAAGGTACAACAAAAAATTAATGAAAAAAATTATGAACTACATGATTGGATTGTATGTGGAAACTTGAGCATTACCTCCAATATCCATTTCTTCATCAATTTCATTTTTTTTTTTTCCTAAAAAACGTATTGATAAGTAATGAAGTGAATAAAAGATAAACAAATGCTCTCACAAGTAAATAAACAAAATTGAATGAAATGGAAAATAATTTTTTTATATTGGTGATTCGCCTATGAATCAGTGAATGATTGACATTTTTTATAATAACTAGAATATTTATCAGCCTTCAATGTATAACCCAACATTTACATCCAAGATCTTTACCTGCATCACTTTTTAATTTTTCTTTCAATGTTTTCAACTCCAACTCCAATTCATCTATTCTCCTCCTCCAACTCTAAAGAGGATGATTGTTTGTGCAGAGAATAATTGTATATTTTATGTTGAATTAGTGTTTACAATATTGATTACTAAAATAATATTTTATTGAAATAAATATCCTTTCATCATTATTTTCTTTATTTTCACTAATAAAAAAAAAGTTTATAGTTAACTAGAGTGATGACTAGTGGCAACGATTGCATATATAGAAACTAGAATGACAACGAGTGGCAATAACCACCATTCTTATGATAAACAACACTTACCCATTTTCTTCACCATGAACATTAATTTGTCTTCTTTTGTTGGTGTCTTTTTTGGGCGGCATTTTTTGTTTTTATGAAAACAAGTTTTGTAATCGAGGATGTGCAAGTGAACACAAAATTTTAACCCACGCAATTTGGTGATTGACCAATCAAAATCGTGAATTTGATAACATAGAAATAAATAAATATTAATATGGGTTTGATTCATTTTGTCAAACAATCGCCTCAACAACAATCATTTCGTTAACGAATCTAAGAAGTTGGAAGCAACCATGTGACGAACCATTGAAACAGTCTAATAAATTAAAAATTGTACTACTCGAAAATGTATTTAAAGGGTTGGTTTTCGACTTGGTTGAAGAATAACTCTCTTCCTAACTCTTC